GAGGCGGGGTTTCACCATGTTGGCCAGGCTAGGCTGGTCTCAAACTCCTGAGCTCAGGTGATTTACCCACCTCAGTCTCTCAAAGTGCTGGGATTACAGGTGTGAGCCATAACACCCGGCCCCTCTTCCTTTATAAATGTGAGAATCTCCAGAAAGAAACCTCAGACTTTCTTCATTCCTCTCCTGTTATGCAACAAGGCACATTGATTTCCTGCTGTTGGTTGTTACTTTTTGGGTACAAATAAGAAAGAAGCAAGCCACTGTTTTTTAAAAACTACCTATATGGCAGATCTCATTCAATAGCCATAAGACAGACTGGTTTGAAAACATGCCTCCCTCAAGCCCCCCACCTTTTATATTTTTCCTGAAACTTTCACACTTAAAAATAATCATTTGGGCCAGGTGTGGTGGCTCATGCCTGTAATCCCAGCACTTTGGGAGGCCAAGGTGGGTGGATCACAAGGTCAGGAGTTCAAGACCAGCCTGACCAACATGGTGAAACCCCAACTCTACTAAAAATCCAAAAATTAGCTGGGAATGGTGGTGCATGTCTGTAATCTCAGCTACTCAGGAAGTTTAGGCAGGAGAATTGCTCGAACTCGGAGGCGGAGGTTGCAGTGAGCCAAAATCAGGCCACTGCACTGATTTTGCCTTGTTGCATAATAGGAGAGGAATGAAGAAAGTCTGAGGTTTCTTTCTGGAGATTCTCACATTTATAAAGGAAGAGGGGCCGGGTGTTATGGCTCACACCTGTAATCCCAGCACTTTGGGAGACCGAGGTGGGTAAATCACCTGAGCTCAGGAGTTTGAGACCAGCCTAACCTGGCCAACATGATGAAACCCCGCCTCTACTAAAATACAAAAATTAGCCGAGCATGGTGGCATGCACCACATCCAGCCTGAGTGACAGAGCGAGACTCCATCTCGGAAAAAAAAAAAAAAAATTAATACTCATTTGAGGATGTGAATAAAAACCAAATCAAATAGTGCATCTGTTTAAATCATTTATTTCAATACAGGCATTGTTTCAAATTTGCACCTTGTCTTGTAACACATTTCATACCCAGAGAACAGGTCTGAGAACAAGTACATAATAGAATTATTTGACAAAGTTTTAACAAAAGTGCTTGCAGCTTATTTGTTTCAGATATACAGAATCACCAGTCACAAAGAGCCACTAAGTGGCAATACATTCACAAACTTGCCTGGGAAGTAAAATATTTTACATATTTACACTGTACATTTAAATGGGATATTCTGAAGCATTATTATTATCAATAAACTCTTAGCAAGAAGTTCTCTTAAACCCTCTGGCACTTAACAAAGAATATTAATTTTATGGAGCTATGAGTTTTCCAGTTTGATTCCCATCTTTCCCATAACCTAAGTGGATTTTTACCCCCTCCAGTACACATATTTATCTCCTACACAAAGTAGCTTGTATTAGCTTATCACCAACCAAACCTTTGTTAGTAGCAATTGGAATTTTGTTGGCATCAATGTATTTACAATGTAAGAGTAAATTATTTAGAAGGGAGTCTCTAGGAATTTTGTTGGCATCAATCTATTTACAATGTAAGAGTAAATTATTTAGAGGGGAGTCTCTAAAAATTAAAATAACCGAATTAAACCCTATTTTAAATGGACTTTACAGTATAAAATTTATGGTTATAGAAATCTAGTATATAAATAAGTTTATAATTTATAAGGTACTTATTAGGATTGATTCCCCCATGATTTACTCCATTTACATGAACGTATCTTTTAATAATGATTATATCTTTCAGAAAACGAGTTATGAATATAAAAATGACTATTATAAGTTACCATAGCTATACCAAAAATGAACATTAAAATGCAGAGACTTATATGTTAAAATACATAGAAATTTGCTATACTTCTTTAACGAAGTGCTTTATAAAAGCATAAAATTATAAAAGGTGCTATCTTCATGAATTTTGTGTTTTTCTGATACTTGAGCCAGACCAACATGCAAACGTTACAAATAGTGCAACTGAACACTGGCCATCAATTACCTTTAAATTTAAATAGTAGATTCCAGTGCAGTCTGGGCCCCAAAGCAGTTTCACCCTTACCTAACTCACCTAACTCTTAATACAGCCTAAACTCACTGAAAAATAAGCTAACTTCATTTCACCTTTTGTAGCATACACGTAGACTCAGAGTATATACTGAAATATAATTTGAAAGCTGATCATTAAAAAAATCAAGAAACTCAATATTAAAATATTAACTCTGAGTATCTTAAAATTGCATAGAAAATGTAGGTCATGGTTTATAAACATTTTATTTACATAATCAGATAAATAGGCTGGGCAAGGTGGCTCATGCCTGAAATCCCAGCAGCTTGGGAGGCTGAGTCGGGCAGATCACCTGAGGTCAGGAGTTCGAAACCAACCCGGCCAACATGGCAAAACCCTGTCTCTACTAAAAATGCAAAAATTAGCCAGGTGCGATGGTGGGCGCCTGTAATCCCAGCTACTCGGGAGGCTGAGGCAGGAGAATCACTTGAACTCAGGAGGTGGAGGTTGCAGTGAGCCGAGATCATACCATTGCACCCCAGCCTGGGTGACAGAATGAGACTCCATTTCAAAGAAAATAATAATAATAATCAGATAAATAGAAAAAGAGGAAAGGCAGAATTTACAAACATATATTAAACAAGAAATAAAGTGTTATTTATTCTTTGCCATACAAATTTGCATTGAAAAGTTCACAATATTTGATTTTTGAGCTTTTTGAGCTCAGGATTGGTCAGACCTTGAAGTTTAAAATAGCTGACAGATTTAGGGAATAGCTTTCATGTCAGTTACCTCATGCTCATTAGCTTTGAGTTGCATGGGAACCATGTAAACTAACCCAGGCATTTTGTGTCTAGGTAAGGGAATGGTTAGAAGGATAATAATAATATAGTTCTTTCTTAAATCTCTATCAGTTCCAGATTTCTATACACTTCACCAACACCTATGATTATTCTTAGTTTATAATGAAGAAACAGACTAGGTATAAAAAATGGAAAATTAGATTAGGTCACGAAGCAAATGTAAACCAAACAAGATAAAATCCATTCATGTTGACTATCATAGTATTGAGATCCAGGAATGCATGCTCTCTGTAGTTAAAGCAGATTATCTTCACTGCCATCTATTGGTCTTTATCCTGAATTAGAAGAAAAATTCCCCAAGGTTCTGCGTGGCAACTAAAGAGTTAGGAAAGTCAAAATATCAGTGGGTATCATAAGTGGTTTACTCTAGATAAATTACTGAGAGAATCATAGTGACAGGCCCTTAGGAGCCCTGCCTTAGAATTTCCCAAGGGTTTGGTAAATGATCCTGCAGTGAAGACTGAATTCCAGGGTATCAGATCTGACTTGATGGCATTTGAGGGACTTGGCCAAGGTTCCCACTTGATATTTGGGACTAAAATGTCCCACCTGAAAAGAAGTGGTCTACCTTGCAATTAAAGAAAATGTGGGCCAGGCACGGTGGCTCATGGCCATAATCCCAGCACTCTGGGAGGCCAAGGTGGGCAGATCACCTGAGGTCAGGATTTGAGACCAGCCTGGTCAACACAGTGAAACTCCATCTCTACTAAAAA